CACGATAGAAAACCGATGTGTAAATTTCGCTTTGTAAATATGATAATTATTGTATATTTTTACGATTATCTTGAATTTTTTAATCGTTATGGAAATATCATATAACAATAATATGAGAATATTTTTTTGAAACATCAACATACGTGACATATATTACGTAGGAAAAAACAATTTTATTTAATCAGAAATTACTACTCCCATCGCGTGAAAGAAAACAGAAATGAATCGAAGCTTTTCGCAACCGCCAGGTAGACAGGGCTCGCTTCGGGCGATCAATTAAAGGGTTAACACGAACACGCGAGAGAGACTATCGGGAGGAGTGCCCTTCCACGCAATGGGTAAACGTACTCGTTTTCAGGCAGCGCCTTCTATTTTCCGCTTGAAGAAGGTTTGATTAGCGGTAAATTAAATAATAAGGAAAAGATTGCGTGCAAAGATCGATGCGCGCGAGCGAAATCGCGAGAAATGTAATCGACGATGACTTTCGTAAATACCAAGGATGAGATCTAATGAGATAGATAAATGCATACATTCGCATATCATTAAAATAAATATTATTTAGAAAGATATAAAGCTCTGCTTAAAACGGAATAAAAAAAAATTATATATTATAAAGTCTTGCGTGTTTATATCAAAATTGTACCATAAAACTTAGCAATTTGCTTTCAATATTCAATAATGTATGTTTTATTGTTAAATAAATATAGTTTTTTTATTGTAATTAATTAATACAAAATAAAAATGAAACCTATGAATGTTTCTAAATATATAAAGATAATTTTAAACATAATTCACAGATGATAACCCGATGATTTTTCACATAACAGTGAAAAAGATGTTACTAGAAGAGATTAATAAACTCGCATTAAAAGTCACTTTCGCCGTAATCGCTGCAAGTGCAATGTACAAAAATACGGTTTTAAGACGATACAAGTGATCCAGATGCATCGCCGTTGCTGAATTGGCGACAAACGAGATATTAAGTGTCGGACAGTAAAATATCGCGACGCAGCGAACGCACCAATTAGCGTACATTGAGCTGGGCGAGATCAATCACGCTTCGAAATGAGAAAAAAAAAAGAGAGAACAAGACAGGGACAAAAAGTTTGACGACAGAAAACAACGAGAAATTTCATCTTGCGTGCTAATAATCGTTAGCGCTCGCGAGTCTCGAATACGCGACCTTGATTGAGTAGATTAAATGGATTATATATAGTAATAATAATTAATTATCTCTATGCTCAAAAACTGCATTATCATTACATATTAAGTATGGTGTGCTTCCTGACACATTACAATTCACTAAAAATATTAACGCAAAGACACAGAGCTATCGATGTTATATTATTCGCATATGATCGTTCAATGTCATAAAGCATTCTATAATGTTCGTTTATGGGGATACTTGTATATATTACCGTTGGATAATTTTAATTTTATCATGTATAAAAAGAAATAGAGAGTTGAGTATTTGATAATGGACTATCGACGGGATAGGAGACGGAATGAATAGTGAGTCTCATATAACGTTAAATTGAACCTGCGACTTGATTTAACTTAGTTATGTTCTTCCCGTCCTTCTTCTCGTGAGCTTCGTTAATCTCAATCCGCGCGTTTTTGCCGCCCGGTTTCTCCCTTCCTTCCCGTTTTTCACATTTATCCATATTTACCGTCTCGCTGTGCATCGCTGCTGGATCGCGTTTTTACCGCCGGCGCCGTTCGATTAATTTTACGTCGCGCCGCGTAATTATGTCCCCTCGTAACGAACTATCGACTCATTGACCAACCAATTAATCTCCGTATCACTTGTAAAATTCCCACATGTGCATATCAGGCATGGCATGCTATCCGATATGCGAATAAGAATACATCACGATAATCGCGCTCATAACATTTCAAAAGAACCCGACTATTAAAGTAGTAGTGAGTAATAGATATCTCCCTCCCTTTGAGAACGGTCGGAAATACGATGCGTTAAAGCTTCGTTAAAGTGTCATTAAAGTATCGCCGACGATTGTAATGCTAGCACGCGAATCGAACACGAGAACAGATCTAGCAGCGTTTACAAACGAATTTTTTTTTTTTTTTTTTACGTATGACGACATTAACCTTTCCTGTCTCTGTAATTTAGCGTTTTCATTGCTAAATATATATTTGCGAATATTGAAATTCTACATAAGAACATTGCAGCTTTAAAATTAAATAATAAAATAATCTTCAAAATAATAATAATATTCATAATAAATAAATAATTTATTCCAACTGACGATTTCTGCTACGCTAGAAATTGCTCGCCCTATATTAACAGCAGCAGCAAAATATTACTGGCAAATTTAAGCAAACGCGGAGGCACGTTTCAGATTTATACATAAGTCAAAAATCGGCAACAATAAAAATCGTGCTGTTGCACGTGAACTGACGTGGCGGGTCACGTGTCAGGATGATGCGCTTCCGCGAGGGAGACCACCCGTAAGAAAATCTCGCGTGCAAAAAGATTGGAAGGCACTGATCTACACGCGTATTCTCTCGAAGGGAGAACGAAAGGGAGAGCGAAGAATCGCTTCGTATACGGAGGGGAGCAGAAACGAGAGAGGGGAGAGGAAACGAAGGGGCCTCGTAAAGAGAGGACGAGCAACGGCTGCACATCTCCGTGATTACTGATTACTGAAACGATTTGCACCGTTCGCTCCGGCGGAGCGATTAATTTCCGTAATGGAGTCGTATCCAGGAGATCATTCCTCATAGTTACCGATTATCATTAAGAACGGGGTCTCGATATTGAATTCGTTCCGCTCGCGAGACAATAACGATGCGTATTCACATATCGAATCGAGAGATTACAATGATAATAACGTGATGAAATTTAAATATATATATATTCGATTCTGATTGTATCAGCAAAGGTTATTTTCATTTAATCGAAATTAATAAAAATGCAAGTAAAATTAATAAATAACGAGAGAATAATCATTTGCCTCGATTAATAATAGAAAAAAAAACTCAATTTAAAATTCTTTTTAAAGTCTTATTAAATTTGTTGGAATATAAATTGTTAACACTAAATGTTATTTTATAACATTTAGATCAGAAGAGAAGAAAACAGTATAAAAATTTTAAGTTGATCGCTTGGCATTGGACTTCCAATTTATACTCTGCGATTTTTCGAGCAAAAATAACTATAATATATATAATAAGATAGCATTATAAAAATTGTCTGTTGCCCCAAGTGTGTTTAGTGCTGAAAATGTCTCTTTTTTGGTGAGATTGCGGTACGTATAAGAGAGACGCTTTTTGCTTGTGTCGATCGTGTACTTCGAATCCGTTGAAATTGCAAAAATAAAAATACAGAGAAAAAGCGTGCCTGATTGATCTACAACGGCGACCGCAAGCCAACGTGCCGAAAAATATCGAAGACGATGTGGTTTCTTTAATCCTGCTCGAGAAAGATATATATAATATATAATATATAACTTAACAACTAAAGTTGTTAAGAGACCATATATTTCTCCCTTAAATGTAATTTTTATTTTTAGAATTTATTGTAGGGCCAGTCCCAACGCTACTGCAATGTTGGGTTGACCCGTGGCAGAGTCGGAGCGAGCTCCATGCATCCACCTTTTTTCAAAAATCAGTTTAATATTCTGAATCCCCTATGGGGATTGTATCAGATATTAAGCTGATAAGAACAGATACTACACTTTTGATCTTAGCTCAATGAGCCGAGAAGCGATACCAGCAATGGCTTTCGCAGGCTTTATATACTGTTTGTGACGGAACTTGATTACGAGTTGTACGTTCGCTCATGCGCCGCTTAACGGTGGACCGAGGAACTAACGAAAGTAATCGACTCGATTCTCCCACTTCCTCGTGTTAGAAAGAGCACGTGACTAGAGCTCGAAA